TGGTGTTTACGGCCCTGGGACCACTTCCCCATGAGTTTACAGCCCTAAACTCGTGGTATGAAGTACCAAATCATGTAATGAAGTCCTTAGTTAAATGGTTTAAGGTTCTATGCTAAGTTCCAAGGCTCACTAAGGGGTTAGGGTGTCATTTGCACCCTTAAAAGGGGTTTACGGCCCAAGAACATGTCTTGGCCGTAAACTCCTTGAATCCTATGATTCCTTATGTTTTCTAAGCTCTAAACATGTTAAACCTAGTGTACAATGAGTTGGAACTAGAGTACTTACGATCTAGGAACTTGAATGGTCGGTTTTGGCCAAGAACACGAGTGTGTGTTCTTGGTGGAACTTGAAGATCTAAAAAATGGAATGATTTCACGGATGAAATCATGTAAGATTACTAGTTTATGCAAGATAACAACTAGTTCAGACAATAAGCTTACGAGTTTTGAAGATCGGGATGATACTTGAGAGGATTTGGGCAAAAGGGAAGGGAGGAATCAACAAATGACCACCTCTTCATCATATAAGCAAGAGTTTACGGCCCACATGGAGTTTACGGCTGTAAACTCCCATGTGTTGGCTGTGAACTCCTTACATGGGTGTTTAAGGTCATTTCTTTGAGCTAAAAATTCAATCGATAAACCCCGACACTTATTCCTTAAGTGTACAAGGCTCAGAACGCTCAAATAAACTCCTAATTATACTAAAAGATAATAGAAATGAGTTTGACTTTTAATGAAGTGTTAGACTAAACTGGATGGAAAATTTTGGGTTGTCACACAACTCGCCAAGTTGGCAAGGCAACTTGTTAAGTTTGCCTAGTCTTAAAATATTCATCCCTTTTTCTTTCCTCCTAATGCTCAAGAATGTAGATCTGGTACCCATGAGCTGTTAAACCACGTAAAGTTGCTAACTTTACGTCCATGCACAACACCAAGAGGCTAAAACACTCAAGAGAGGCTTATTAGAGGATCTAGAACATGAAGGAGGGCCAAGGATTGATAAAGTTGGCAACTTTAAGTCCAAGGAGGCCATGAGATGTTCAGATCTAAAGTCATAGCTTCATAACATGCTCAAATCCCAGAATGGTCCCAAAATGGCTAATAATGGCCATAAACTTTAAAATGAAGAGATCTAGGAAAGGGATGATCAAGGTATTGACTTTATACCTCAAAATGACTGCAACAACCATGAAAGTCCTGGATCTAAAGCCTTCCTTCGAATCAATCCTCTTCAAGCTTCAAGTTTCTTCTAGAAGAGCACCAAAAATCACACTCCAAGCTCTCACACACTCAAAATGAGACATGAGGCACACATTAGGGCTTCTCTGGACTGAGGGGGCGATAAGGGAGGCCAACAACGAGTCATAATTTATTTAAATAGGGTGCAAAACCCTGAAAATTAGGTTTCCTTTTGAGAGGCCAACTCGTCGAGTTGAGGCTCCTCAACTCGTCGAGTTGCGTCATTAAACTCCGTGGATAAGCTAACTTCTACTCGCCGAGTTGAAGCTTCTCAACTCGTTGAGTAGGCCCACTAAACCCCTTGATTCCTCATTCTCAACTCGCCGAGTTCAACTTGAATTTAGCATAATTCCACAATTAGCCTTCTAGATTTCGGGTGTTACATGAATCATAGACAACAACACATATTGAGATAATACCATGATTTATATAATATTACATTCTTCCAAAATCCAAATACGAAGAAATACATTGTTTAAGAAATCTATAAGCGATAATCGTGGAATGCAACTACCTGCAAAGTAATAATATAACAAAAGGCTACTATATAGCCGACTATTTATTTCCAACGTCAATTCTTCATTCTCACATTGGGTGAGAGTTCTTTCGGTCACTTTGAACATCTAGAGATACATACATTTTGAAAATACGCCAATAATAATGTTGGTGAGCTTTATAGGTTTTCTTTTAACTCTGAACGTTTTAGTAATTCAAAATATGGTTCAATGACCGGTAAATTATAAACGCATATTTTTACTATTCAAATAATTTTAACGACGAGGATTAGTTATTCTCTTGACAATTTTATTATTTGGACATTGTCAACTTATGGAGAGTTATGTCGTAAAGAGAGGTAGTTAGTTAACCTAAGCAGTCTTAAACACTCGGCCCAATTTGGGAGAATTAACTCATCCTAGACCTATACTTCTTCAGAATATAAATCTTCATTCTAACAATTAGCCTATAACCGACACTATATGCATTTCGGACCACAAAGGCACAACAAAATGAGCAATCAAGATCATTACTAACATTTCAAAACAGTCGTATTGTAACAAAGAAGGAAACACTTGATGTCTGTTGCCTTGTCAGACGAAGTTGTAGCTAGCAACCATAGACGAGGAAAAAGATCAACCTACATAAATCATTCCATATGAAATAGATCTACACTGACGTTCTTTATTATAAATATATGCCGTGTACATAGACTTACATTATAAAACCATGCTGGATTAATGGTTATAGCGCTAGGTTTCAATTCTAGAATTTTGATCCTAATGAAAGAAAAACACCCCATCATAGAACCCTTTAGCAAAATCATCACACAAACACACACAATATATAAATCCATAAATTCCATGATATTATTTCATCGGCACACAAATCTGTGGCTTACTATGGTCACTAACACAAATATTAGATTATTAAGATTTTTAAGGCTTAGTGAGTTTAGTTAAATAGTGAATTTAACTTAGCGTTTGAAAAACGTGGCGGTAATAATTTGAGTACTTTTATACTTCAACCGATAGGGAGAGCGTCACGTTCGCGTAGTTGAATAACTCATATATGCCGGTATTACGTCGGTTGACCGTTTATCGCCTTAACCCATCATCATTTTATTTTTAACTTTAACGTATTGTAGAAATTATATTGTTTTCGTTCGTTAGTATATTTAGTCTTAAAAATACATATATATATTATTTATCGACATGATTCCGTATTATACTTTAGTATATACTTGTGAGTTATTTTCATACTCTAAATATGAGTTCATTATTTATTTGTATATTTTTATTTTATCCTCTCGTTTAACTCTTTGATATCAAAACTTTATGCCAATTAAGCTTAATAATCTAATATGTACAAGTCATGTGATTATACATATCATTTCAGTGAGGTTAACAAGATATTGGTAATAAAATGTTCAGCTAACAACAATTACGACATAAGTTCTCAACGACACTCATATTCATCCCTACAATTCTTATAACACTACTTTCATTAACTTATTCTTTTCCAACATTTTTATTTCCGTGAGTATTTATAATAATGTCTAATAGTTTATAAAAACTCTTTTGTTTATCAAATACCAACCACAATATTTTTAACAAACTTTAGTGGTAAAAATAGTTATTTGTAATATAAATAACTATTAATAGTTATCGTATATGACCCCCAACTTTGCATGTATGTAAAATATAAATCTTTTAGACATCAACTTATATCACAATACTTAAGTATGTATCTCCCTCCAAAACAATTGAAAAATATAAAACAGGGGCATAAAGACTCACATTGAGCGTGTGATTCTCGAGTTTAGACGGAAGTTTCAGTGAGGTTCTTGTTTCATTCAAGACCCGGTTGCTTCACCAAACAATAAACAAAACTTATTTTAGTTTATTGGACCTCACAAAGATACACAAAACAACATATTCAGATTACAAAATGAAAGAAAAGCTTACCAAAACAGCCACGATGGATATGGGGTGGCTGGAGGTTGTTCTGGCAGCCTTCTCGCCTCCTTTGTTTCCTATATCGGCGGTTGCCGACGGGAAACAGGTGGCAACAAGATCGATCACAGAGAGGGTGTTTGGCTGTCTCGAAAAATGGTTAAACAGGGAGGAACTTCGAGAGGCTGTTGCCTCTTTTATCGTCGAAAAGCTACCAGCAAACACCTCCGGTGGACGTGCTCATGGTGATCTCGAAATTAGGATAGAAAAGAGGTTCTGGTGGGTGTTTGGGGCTGCCATTTTCACCTTTGGTAAGCCTTTTTATGGTTCCAATCTTTCCCTCTACTAGTGTACCTTAGTTTATTTTTAGAAGTTATAGCGTTACACTTGTAATCATTATAGTACTCTTTTTGCAAAATTTTGAAGTGTTGGCGAAGAGAAAAGAGAAAAAAAAAACATGGGGGGTTGGGTTCGGGTGTAAGAGCTCCATCTACCTGTACCTTAAATGGATTCTTGGAAGCAACCACCTTAAATGAGTGTACTTACACCCATAATGGAAAGATGGAATTTGGTGATTGGAAGCCCTAAACATGCAAGTAGAAAGTAGATAGATTCATAGGAGTTGACTTTGGGCTTTTAATTCTAGTTCTTAGATGTAGTTGGAAGTAAGGTAGGTACTAGCCCTTAAATGAGGTATAATATTTCAAAAATGGACTTTTGTTACATACACACACATGTGTTTCATAATTCATTTAATTTGTTATGTACTTGCCATATGATGCTAAGGTGCATTTGTTATTTCATGTAATACTTGTATGGACTTAAATATTTTTATAAATTAATTCCTTCACTACAAAACATACATGTATGCATTTTATTGACTTTATTTGTGTATATCTAGTCATGATGTACGAATGATAACGTATATAAAACCATCATCATTATTAAAAAATATATTTATATTTGTAAAAATATCATACATTAAATCTTTCGTTAACATTGGTTAAGATCATTGATCGACGGACATCGACCCAATTTTTTTTATAGGTGTTACACAAATAGGGTTTACCCGTCAGGAAAAAATGGCCGAGGGTAGGTTTAGGCCACTATCGGGCTCACATAAGTGATTATACTAAATATAATACAATAATATTATACATGTACATTAATATTTATCTCCTTATATACCACTTTAAACAACATTACGACAATCATTCCTATCTACAACAAAAGTCCTATTGCGAAAGATAAGCTTCTTGCCATGGAAACGACAAATATTCTAATTCTGAACATAAGAAAAACCTTCAGTTTAGATAGGTTTATGAGCAAACCACCTCTTAACCATCACAAAACATTCTTTAGGCTTGAACTCTGGGGCTGTGTGACCTGCTCCCTGTATACGCACATATCAAAAGGGATATATTAATTTTATATAGTTGATCGACCCTAAGTATATATAAACCTAATGTCTCATACCTTTACGGTGACAAATGCTAAAGAAAAGTTATCATGAGCATAAGTAGTTTTGTATCCTGCATGTTGACCTTTAACATACCAAGGGTCCCAATTATTATATGTGATTGTCAAATTAAGAGAATTTATCCAATTATATGTCCCCACATGTGAAACCATCATGTCATGATCTCCACTGTTTCAGAGAAAATAAAAGGTAAGTTGTAATAAGTATGGGTATTAAGGATACAATAGATGAGTATGGAACTTCTAATACCTGAAAATCAAAGCTCGACAATTTCTCTTGCTTAGTTTTTTGTGATATTCAACACTACTAAGGACGTCAAACTCATATGATGGCATTGATTGCTTACCATAATTGTACTGCATGTCCATATTACATAGGGTCCATTCCTTCACTGTTCCCTAATTAATGTCACCTTATATATATATTAGTAAACAAGAAATTAATATATCCATACATTAGGTGTAAGATCCATGTATTACATGGATTAATTAAAAAAATTAAATATAAGGATCTAAATATTTAAGAAATTTGAATTTATAAGAAAATTAAAAAATAATGAATTATTAAAAATTGATTTTTTTTACCTTTTAAATTCAAATAAATAAACATAATAAATTAATGAGCTTTAATTTTGGAATTTTAAAATAAGAAGGTAAGTCCATTAAAGAAATTGATATTTATTTCTTACTATATTTATCGTAATTATTTCATTAAAGTATTATATAAAATTTATTAAAATAAGAAAACTCATAAAATAAAATATGGAAAAGAAATTAAATCAAAATAACGAGAAAATGACATTTGGCAAATTAAATGAAAGTGTGACATATGACAAAAAAACCTTATTAACATACCTTACGTATATTAAGGGATTTCTTAACCTTTTCGTCATTGGCCCAAGGGATTGCATACTCATGATAGTAACCCTGTTTAAAAGATGATTTTAAATAAATTTAAATATTCATAGGGCTTAGGACAATACAATGGTGAGAAAGTGAGAGAGATATGTACTTGGCATATGGAATCATTAATTGGATTGGCTTGTAGAGCTCTTCGGTTTCCCCTTAATGTTGGAATAATGATTGTAAGCAAATTGGTTGCTGGATCGCAATCAGGTTCCAAAATTTGTTGAGTGTAAATGCCCTTAACACGCTGACATTAAAGAATACAATGTATTGACTAAGTGTAGGTCATGAAACATAATAACGGGGATAAATTTAGTAGCTATGAATTGTTCTTACTTTGTTGACCTCATAAATATTTGTCATGCATAGCAAATTGTTAGAATCAGCATTTGCATAATCTCCATTGCAAGCCTTTCTTGTTGACTATAATAATGCACAAAATAAATCGCTTTTTTAGCTGCATTTTATTGGGAAGAAACACATGGAACCATGATAAAAAATAATGGAAACTATATGTTACCTCATATAAATCTTTGGATATTAATGCCAAACGATAAGCATATTCGAACCTAGAGTTTATGTCGAGGCTTTTATCTGTCAATGGATTTCCTGCCATGTATCCCTATGGTTTTCATGGATAAGTAATTCATGCTTATAAATTTTGAGAAATTAAATTGATTCCTACTTTTTATACTTACAAATATGCCTACTCAATAAAATTATGACAAGTGTCATCTTTCCATATTTTTTAAACTAAATCATTAAGACTATATTAGGAATATATCAAATACAATTAAATTGAATGGTGATTTGTCATAATTTTAGTGGGTAGGAATAATTGTTGGAATAAAAGATAGGAGGCAATTTAATTTCTCATAAATTTTTATAGATAGAGTACAAGAAACTTATTAGGGTTAATTAGTTATATATTACACACAATATACTTACTTTAATGTTGAGAACCGGCTCTAATCCTTCGTCATTGCCTTTAAAACAAAGAAAATCAAAGATATGAATTTCTGACAATTTAATTTTTGCTTCTTATGGCTCATGAACTTGATAAAGAATTAGTGTTACACAAAATCAAGAACTAAAAAAATTAAACATGATACCTTTATATAATTCTTCAGTAATGATCGGAACAACGATTCCAGAATATGAAATTCCAGCAACATACATGGGGTTTTTCAGAAATTTTGGATGATTCCTAACAAACTGCAAAGAAAGCAATCATCAATAAGATCCTTCCTTAATATAAATATAATTGAGATACTTAAATTTTCACCAACCTTCCTAAGAAATTCAGCAGTCTGGGCTGCTGATGATGTATCACTAGAGCGAATAGCTTGAGGAGTTTTCGTATATGAATATCCGGTTTGTGTGGGTGCATCCAAATATATTACATTTGCTACCTTTGAAACACCATGTATAAGAGATTTTAATGAATATGATCGACATATAAATTATAAATTTAATAAAATATTTTAACAAAAGCAATATACTAGAAACAAGCACACAAATACATGTACCTTTGTCCAAGAATTTGGATGTAACTGTAAAGCTGGGACATTATCCATATAATTATCATACTGAATTTGCATCGGACCTAATAAACATAAAATTCAAACAATTTGAGCTTTATTAAAATAACTGATTGAACTAACTAGCTTTAATCCTTAATTAATTCTAGACATTGTCTCCTAATATCTAGTAATAATTAAATTTTGTAAAATTAATTTGCTGTATAACTAGATATATAATATGCAATAAACATTTGTAAAATTGCTTGGTATGAAAACAAATCCTCTAAAATAGAATATTTTTGATGGGTAACAATAAAAGATAGGTAATCAACTGGGGTTCCAAATCGATGAGAGTAATGACGGTTTGGATCAGGCCCTACAAGGAGATGGTGAAGTAAGAGTTTCTCAGTGAATATTTTGTTATTAAACATCAAGTGGATGAGTGAAACACATAAGTTAGAATGGATTAGAAGGCTCAAGACGGAATTTTATCTTAATTTTTGCAGAATACAAGAAGTACAAGTTTCTAACATCTCTGAGTTGGATATGAGAGGGTGTTGGGGGTGATGAAGACTTCGAATTTGATTTTGTTGCAGCAACAGGTAGATCTGGTGGTCTGCTTAACATATGGGATTGTAATCAGTTCTCAAAAGTTTTTCAATTAAATCCAGGTTTTTTTATAGCCACGGTTGGCTATTGGAAACACATCCCAGGAGAGACCATATTTGTCAGTGTCTATGCTCCATAAGCACTTGTTGAAAACAGAAAATTATTAACAGAGCTTTTTAACCTTAAACTCTCTCCAGACCAGCACTTGGATATTCTTTGGTGATTTTAACTCGGTACGAAGGCCAGACGTGTGTTTCAATTCCAAATTTTGCCTTTACACGACGTCGACTTTTAACAATTTTATACATGGTACTGGTATATCAGAATACAAAATATGGGCGGTAGAAGATATACTTACATGTGCGATGACGGGATGAAATTAAGCAAGCTAGATCGATTCCTGATTTGTCCAAACTTTCTTATGGCTCAACTATCCTCTATGATAATTGCCCTTCCTAGGGAATATTCAAACCACTCCCGGGTAATCGTGAGAACTAATGTCATCAATTTTGGTTATTGACCGTTTCACTTTTTAACTCCTGAGTCCTGACTCTTTAGAGATGGAATCAAGGTTATTGTCAAAAGTATGTTGGTGATTTTAATGTTATCAAGATATTTTGGTGTAATTATTGTTAATAATGAGATACATTGAGCTCCATTTACTAACTGAGATAGGAGGTATGAGGTGCATACCCGGAGTGATGAATGTGAATTCAGGAATACAGGTTCAGGGGCAGTGCCCCGGGAGGTAGGGTTCCAAGGGGTTGCGCCCCTGGTAGGGTCTTGAGGCAGCGACCCTAGCGGGGTCCAAGGGGCAGAGCCCCTGGCAGTGGTTATGTCATAAAAACCAACAATTTTTGTGATATCATGATGATGTCATAAGTTGGTTATGCTTTAATAACCAACAATTTTGGCGCCAAAAAGCATGTAACTTCCGTTTAACTACTTTCCCTCTTGTATAAGAATGTTTTCTGGTTCGAAAATATGGGTTGAAACTTATATACACGAATACCATACTTTGGAGTATCCCAAATCCGATTTCATGATACCCCAGGCTATAGGGTCGAAATCACAGATTTTGGAAAGTGATTGCAATCATGATTCAATAAATATCAAAGTAAATTGATATTCTTAAGACCCCAAATTCTAACAAACTACCTTTGACTCTTCTAGTGGATGGGGAGCTCCTAACGTCTATCTTGTTCAGAAACTAAGGGCTTTAAAGAAGGCAATCAAGGAGTGCAAAAAAAGTGGAATTTGAAAAGGAGATAAATGAACTTTTGGATAATAAACAAAACTTAGAGGAGTATGATAGAATCGCCGAATACAGATCTCTAGAAGACTCATAAAAAGCACATAGAAGATAACGAAAACATAAAATAATGGAGACTGAAAATACAACTAGGCTTGATCTAAAACAGAAGGCACAAATCAAATGGCTAGTATATGGGGATGAGAATTCTAGTTTCTTTCAATGAAACTATAAAAAATTGGAACAAAAGGAACAAAAATCATGGGTTAATAATGAACGCGGTATGGAACACCGAAGCAAAGGCCATTAAATCCGAGACATGGAATTTTTTGGGTCTAAATTCAAGAGGACTTGTTCGATTAGACCTAAATTCATAAATGCAAAATTTAAGAAACTGAACCTTGAAGATTGTATTTATTTGGATAAACCGTTTAGTATGGAGGAGAAAAAGGAGATGGTTCATGATTGTAGAAGTGAAAAAGCACTGGGCATGGATGGTTTCACAATCAAATATTTAAAAAAGTTTTGGAATTTGATGCAGGTTGATAATATGTGTTTTGTTAAGCACTTTGAAGAACACGGAAAGCTATCAAAAAGTCTCAGCTCGTCTTTCACCACAATCATAAACAAAGTCAAGGATCCCATCACATTGAACGACTTCCGGCCTATTATCTTGATTGGATGTATGTACAAGATTATTGCAAAATTTGTCTCCTTGAGAATTAAGAAGGTTATCGGAACAGTCATAAATGAGGTACAATAGTTAATGAGGTGTGCTCATGGGCAAAAAATAAGAAAATAGGAAGATGTTTTTGTTCAAAATCGATTTTGACAAAACATTTGACTCCATCAACTGGGTGTATATTGACTCATTCATGTGTCAAATGAGATTTGGAGTCAAGTGGAGAAACTGGATCAAGGGTAGCCTTTCATCTACCAATGCCCTGATCAATGGCTATCCGACTAAAGAATTCCCAATCACCAAAGGTGTAAGACAAGGAAACCTGCTTTCTCCATTCCTATTCATCATTGCAATGGAAGGTCTCAACATCACTATAAAAATAGCTTATGATCCCTTCAATGTCACATCTTTTCTATGCCGATGACACAAATTTTCTAAGAGAATAGTCCATTGATAACCTCAAAAATTTAGCCTGAATAGTTAGATGTTTCAAAGCATCCTCAGGTTTAAAGGTTAGTTTTTATAAGTCAAAGGTGCTTGGCATTGGGGTGTCTGATGACGATATTCAAAGTGGTGCAATAATTCTCGGATGCGATAGGTCAAATCTCTCATGTAACTACTTGGGGGTGCCAATCAATGCAAAATTGGGTCTAAAAAAGGAAGCCAATAATTGATCGAGTACAAGGCAAAATCTCCTCATAGAAAACAAAAAATCAATCGATGGGGGGTTGATTCACGTTAGGTAAATCGATACTTGGCAGCATCCCATTGTACTAATTTTTGATTTTTAAGGCACCTTTGTGTGTCATTGAAACTACTGAGAAACTTAGGAGGTGTTTGGATTAGCTTATTAGCTTATTACTTATTGCTTATTTGTGGTGGGAATAAACAATAAGCAATAAGCATGGGGAGAGATACTTATTAAAATTAGCTTATTTAGCTTAATAAGCTGAATTTTATCCAAACACTCAAAGTTAGTTTATTGTGAAAATAAACAATAAGCACTTCTTTTTTTCTTATCCAAACACCCCCCTTAGAAGAAAATCCTTATGGGGTGTAACAAGGAGAAGAAAAAAATAAACTGGATAGCATAGCCTAAAGTACTTGCTTCAAAGGAGAGGTGAGGTATTGGAATTGGTTCTCTTAGAGCTTTCAATATAGCTCTCTTGACTAAGTGAATATGGAGGCTTAATAGAGATAAAAGTAATATGTGGAGTCAAGTCATTAAACAAACACATAATCTAGACTGCAAACCTTTGGGGATGTATGCAAAGAAAACTCTCCCAGACATATGGAACAACATAGTCAAGGTTAGATATGATCTTGACAGTCTCGATTTGGAGTTTGATAAACTATTTTCGTATGTAGTTGGTTCTGGAGAGAACACCCTGTTTTGGCAAGACAAACTGTTTTCCTATGTAGTAGGTTCTGGAGAGCAACATTCGAGATTTTTTTATTGGAAAGTACTGGTAAGCCATTTTAATAACGAACAGATCTATTGTAAAATCCATTTCCCAAAATATATGGTTATTTTTATGTTTTACATTTACATTTATATCTCGGTTATTTTAGTTATTAGCTCTTACTTTAAATATGTGATTTGCATTCATTGTTCAATTAAAAATAATATAATAAAATACTTCTGTGACCTTCAATTTCGTTTTCCAATGCCAATGGACATCTTACCGATTTGGAAGAAGAAGGAACGGAGAGTGGCACAACCAGGGCCTCCGGCGAGCCAAACAATCAGGGGATCCTCCTCCGGGTTTCCTTCTGACTCAACAAAACAATAAAATAGCTGAACAGCTTCATCTTCTCCTACCCCGATATACCTGTTCATTCCAATTTCCACAATCACAATCACCACTAATTAAGAGAGAGAGAGAGAGAGAGAGAGAGACCCAGTTTCTAGTTTGAAAGGGAGAGGACCAGGGTATCCAGGTAAGGTTTCGACGATGGTTTGAGAAGAGGCAATGAGTAGTGTGGTGGAAAATAAAAGGAGAAAAACGAGGAACTCTGTATGCATGAGAAGCAATGAATTGGTTGTATGCTTCATTGTTGAGTGTTCTTAAAGTGAAACAAGGGTGATGAGGAGTTCTTAAAAATATATATAAAAAAGGATATCTAGCAAGAGGATGCTAGAAATCGACACCCGAAAGGTGACGAGGAAATGATGTGCAGTTGGTTTAATTTATAGGTGAATATGAGGAGAGACAAGTGTCGGTTTGGATGCATACCATGCGTCACGTGTATTGGAATGAGCATGCAATAAATATGTATTGAATTACTTCCCTAACCCCATTGTTGTGATGGATGTTCATTGAGTCGAGTGTTTTGGAATACTATCATGGAGTCTAGTGCCACCGTTTGTGTACATTGACACGAATTGCTAAAGACAACGTAAAATTGTCATTTCGACATTAACCTCTTCTGCATTACGTCTCCTTTTGTTTCTATATACCTTTGATTTTTTTTTTTCTTTTTATTATTATTATTATTATTTTTTAATTTGGTTAAATTTTAGATTGTATTGTAACACCGTAAATTTTAGAACCAATTTTTCAATTTTAACATCATAATAATACGAGAAGACATTTCAAAAAAATCTCATTTATTTAATTTATAAAACACAACTCCATTATTGTTTAATTAAAATTGCAGAAAGGTAACACATAACACGGTAAGCACGAAACTTAGTGAGTTCTCCAAAATACCACATACATATACTAGCCATCTTAGGCTACAAGACCTTCTGATCACTGTGTCTCAGTCGGATCTTCCGATCCCATAATCCTGGTAGACCTTCCGGTCCTACCATATATATCGACCTTCCGGTCCTAACCATGTTGACCTTCCGGTCCAATCCTGCTTGATCTTCCGGTCCAACCCTGCTTCACCTTCCGGTCCAACTCATACAACATATTCATATCATATCATATCAAATCATATAACTTATACAAGCACATAAGACCTTCCGGTCATACATAGTTATCATTCCAGGTAAAATATAGTGAGAAGACTCACCTTGAAAGCAACCAAGCGACAACCTTGCACTCATAAATCTTGACCTATCTTCCGCCTTAACACATAGGATAAACATTTCTTAGCAATACTTACTCATACTCAAACATACCCAAGGCTATTCTCTTTTTCTGTTTAACTCTTGAAGTGGATAAAAGATAATTTTACCCCTCCATGGTCTCCATTACACATGGTTGACCCAACCCTAAAGTCAACCGAAGTCAAACTTGAGTCCATTCCAAATTTGACCCGGCTCGGTGAGTGCAACCTTGTGACTCGTCGAGTCCACTCACTTTCTACGAAGTTTCGCAAAGATTCATTTCAACTCATCGAGTTGACTCCCAACTCGTCGAGTTACTACGCGATTCAGCTCGATCAAGAAAACCCTACCCGGCTCGTCGAGTCGGCTCATTGACTCGGCGACTCTATCCATTCTCGTTCTCATTCAGAAGATTTCAACCAGATCTATCACTCTAAACCATAGATCTATCATCTCAAGGTTCAATAATCACGTAAAGCTTCGATCTTTAAGTTCATGCATGATGTTATTCGTTACAACCTGAAATTTTTTACCTTGTAAAGTCAAGCCAACCAACCAAAAGTCAGACTTAAGTTCATTGCCTTCTAGCCTTGTTATGGGGTATTCTAATGAGTTCTAAGCCTAGTACATTCAAGGAATGAGTGTTAGGAAGTACCTGCTAGAGTCACTGTACAAAATTCAAGCCTTAAACCCCACTAAAAGGAGTTCACGAACACAATACATGATTTTATGGCCGTAAACTCATAGTTGGCCGTAAACTCCCCCCTTAAGTCTCATTTCCTTCATTTTTCTTTCATTCTTACACTTTCAACTCAAGAAACTTGCATTCTCTCTCAAGTATCATCGACTTCTTCATCCTAGATGTTCAAAAACGTAAGTATTTCTTCCATCTTTGAGTTGTTATCCTTCTTAAACTTGTAAGAAATTCTTGATTCATCCATGAAATCATCTCTATTAGGATAGATCTTCAAATCTTCATCTTTCACCAAGAACACCAAGAACACACACTTGTTCTTGGTGGCCGAAAGCTCCTCAAAGGCCCTCAAAAGTGTGAGTATTCCATCTATAATCTAGTTGGACATGTTAAACACTAGATCACAGTCTTGGAACATCATCAATCTCATAAACTTTAAGAATTTACGGCCGTAAACTCTTGGTTATGGCCGTAAACCTGTGTTTTGGTCATGACTTGAGCCTTAAACACTTCTAGACACTTGCTATCCATTAAGAACTCTTGAACCCCTTTGATTTAAGACCTAATTACCCTAAACATATTGACTTTACGACCATGGAATCTCCCTTGGCCGTAAACCCATAATTTGGACACATTTTGGCCTCAAACCCTTCTCATATCCAAGCATTAGACCTTGAACCCCTAATGGATGATAGATAGGACCTTAAACCACTCTTTTTTGCATGATGGGCATGAGTTTATGGCCATAAACTCCTTGCTTGGCCGTAAACTCATCTATCTTGGCCATGAACACTCCTTTGATCAATCACATGTGATTTAATACTTCATTTCAAGTGTTTCCTAGTCCCTAAGGTTGTTTCCTTGCATATTAGTTGTTTAAAACACTAAATTCATGTCAATATATGCCATTATATGTCATTAGGACTCATTTGTGTCTCAGGAGTTCATTCGTGGAACTTTTTATCCTTACACGCACCTTCAATTGAATCACCCACATAAGGTGAGTTCATACCCCTATAATCAATCTTTTAACTGTTTTAAATGCTTTTCAGGGGGGAATACAAATCGGACATAATGATAATTGTGTAAATGTTTCTTTATAAACATCATTTTAACAGATTGATTATGTATTATAAGTGATCAAAACATTTCAAAAACTCTTTTTAAGTTATGTCACTTTTTAGTTTATAAAACTCCGCTTTTAAAGTAAAATCATAACTTAGTAGATAAATAAGTATTTTCTTCAAGTCAGAAACAGATCATGTAAACATACTTGTAAACTATAATAGGTATAGTTTAAGGGTTCAGTTCACACTAGAACATACTATAAAGAGAAACATGGAGGTAGATACATTACACGATAACATAGAGAACATACTATAACGAGAAACAGGGAGGAAGATACAATACACGATAACATACAGAACATACTATCACGAGAAACAGGGAGGAAGATACAATACACGATAACAAAAAGAATATACTAAATACTATAACAGAAGAATAAATCATGATTAATAGCATTATACCAATGATCACTCACTCATTGTTCTAAACAAAAGGTGATAATAAATGTGGTATACAAGAACAGGATAACCTTAATGTGAGACTACTTCACGGCTCAGTAATTTGTTTGCTGAAGTCACGTTTTGTAACCAGAATCTCTTGGAGGGAGAGCATATAGTATGGGTACAACCACATCACACTATGGCATTAATAAAACGAGCTAGTTTTGTAACATCCCAAAAATACAGTCTGAAAATTTCATTTTAAATTAGTAATAAAACCATATTCATCAAACGTCATATAAGAATCATAAAGAATGTATCTCAAAATATCTTAACAACTGTCAAATATATCAAAGTATAAACATCCCAGACTGAACAAATGGTGTGTGTACTGCAATATTCCCGAGCTCCTCTTTTGAAAATTGAGTACCTGAAACCAAAACTGAAAACCATAAGCACGAAGCTTAGTGAGCTCCCCCAAAATACCACATACCATACAATAACATATAAAGCATCTACTAGGCCTTGCCCACTGCATCGGGCCGAAGTCCGAAAACTGCATCGGACCGAAGTCCGAAAACTAACCAGGGCCTTGCCCTCTGCATCAGACCAAAGTTCGGAAACTGCATCGGACCAAAGTCCAGAATTAACTGCATTAGACCGATGTTTGGAACTGACTGCATCGGACCAAAGTCCAGAACTCATTGGGACCTTGTCCCCTGCATCGGACCGAAGCCCGGAACTGACTAGACATAACATAGCATAAACATATCAACTAGGATGAATACAGATACTGCATACTGTATCGGAACAGAGTCCGGAACATATAACACAAAACATGCTTGAATCACAAAGACATTAAGCACTATAACTACTGCATCAGACCGAGGTCCAGAACTAACTGGACATAGCATCACATTATCATAGCATATAATATAAACACATATACTGCATACTGCATCGGACCATAGTCCGGAACACATAACTTATATGTATCACAAAGACACCAAGCATAATGAACTACTACATCGGACTGTAGTCTGGAACTACTGCTAACTAAACGGGTTGAAATTGTGGCCGTAAACCCGTTCATACTGGAAGGAAACTCACCTCACACTGCTGAAGTCTCGCAGACTCAATCCGACACTGCTAAAGTCCCGCAGACTCGACCCCAGCTGCTAGATGATAGATTCCCGATCTGTCAACATCAAAATAACACCCAATTAATAATTGGGTTCCACTACATAACTATAATTACATACTTTAGATAATTACTACATTACCCCAAGCTTGGCTTACCCAAGCCCCAGGTCCAATCCATAAGCCCAAAGTCAACTCGGGATCAAAGCCCAACATATGACCCACTTTTCCAAATTGGGCCCAAACCTCCACATGGACTTCCCTTAACGCCCAATTGCTCAGTCCGGTCCAACATGTCTCATTCAAAGGGCCCAATATCGTACAACCATCTAGGCCCAAACTATGGCCCATCTATGGCCCAATTTTCCAAATTGGGCCCAATCCTTTATATGGGCCTTACCCTAGAGCCCAACTAATTGCTCTAGTCCATTTAATTATTCTTGGATGGCCCAACACAAAGCCCAAGTGAAATTAGGGTTTCTCATAAAATAATAATTAGGGTTAAGTGTTTCTCACTTAACCCATTAAGGGCTTAACCTACTAAGGACTTAATCCATTAAGTCCATTATTGCTTAGATTAATTTCTGCCAATGATTATTATTTAATATTTCACTTATTAAATAATTCCTGTGTGTGTGTCCTGATAATTTCTC